AAGCCTAAGGCGCTAGGTGCTTGCTTGCCTAGGCGCCAGCACGAGCAAAGAGAACTGCTCTTAAATATTAGAATTTAAAAAATATATATTATGATTGATGAACATAAGCACAAAAATAAAAATGACACATCAAACTGGAATCATATAAACTATAAAATTACATTATTCATCTTTTAATAATAAAAAATGTCAAAACAATGAAGTTTAACTGATGTTATGTTTTAAGTAGTGTTCTTCATAGTGTTTTCATATCAATGTGATATATATGGCTAAATAGAAATATGTTAAACAGGTTTCTATTGGTGGAGACCTATGCTAAATAGGTTTCCGACTAGCGCTAAACAATTCTAAAGAGTGGATCATTATGGTGCTAAACTATTTTAACTAGTGTTAAATAGTTCTAAAGAGTGGATCAATATGATACTAAATAGTTATAACTAGTGCTAAACAATTGTAAAGAGGAAACTAATAAGAGAAGTAACCGATGACTGTGGAGATAGGTGGGGGAAGGAGAGAGTAGTGGACAAAGATGAAATGGTGGATGAAGGCAATGGATGAGGTTATCGACGATGGCGGACGAAGCCAATGGAGCTGCAATGGTGGACAAGGTTGTCGACGACAGCAGGCGGAGTGAACGAAGGCAACGAACATAGGGTTTCACTGGGTCGAGTGTTAGGAGGGATGGGGGTGTTAGGGTAACTAAATACTTGGCACCTGGGCTCAGTCGAGCGCCCGAGCCATGCTTTATTGAAACGCCTTGCCTGAAGGTTTTGTGAGGCGCTTGGGCCTTGCCTCTCTTCACCGAGTGCCTTTTCAAAATGTTAAGCCAACCATAAAAGGAGCGCAAGGAGAAGGCCTCAGCTCGAGAATATACTCCCCACAATGGTCAAAGTTCACGAGGGAGATGTGGCTGTCGAGGCACCAGCTGGGAGCATAGTTGTTCATAAAAGGAAAGTCTTCAACTTATCTTCGCCAAGCTCTATTGGCATCTTAGGAAGCCACCCCCAATCTAATAGCCAAATGTCCTCGCAATCGGCTCCGAAGAAGACATGACACTAACATGTGCAGGACTTGTGTAAACGTAAGCCCTTTACAACACTCCAGATATATAATCTACCTCATCTAGTGCACAAGCGCTTACCTCTGGGGTGCGCTTATCCCTTGTAGTAGGGTCTCCAGTCCACCGACATCCCACGAAAGGATGGGAGGATTAAAAATCATTACCTACGGGATGGGTTTATCACCTTGCTAGCTAGAGGTGTTGGTAACCAAGGTAGCTAATTGTGTAGTAATAGTATATTGGTTTTGTTACCAAGTACCATGTCGACTTATTTCAATGTATTGCTAGTAGTTCATCTTGGTAAAAAACAACCACCTTCTGATAGGCTTGATAGATCGAATTTATGATTCTGGGTCCATTATATCCACGCAGAACAAAGAGGTGGACAAGCTTCAAGCGTAGGTGGAGGCATACATCAATCTATAAGAAATTGTCTACCAACGGCAAAGTTGGCCAAGAACAAGTCAACTCCTTATGGCACAAGGATATGCAAGGAGAGTCCTTGAAGATTGTTCGAACTACCCATTGGAATTCTCAAACAACTACCTCTGGCCTCAAAGCAAGTGGCGAAAACCATCGTCACCAACAAGGATTTAAAAGGGGCTCCTTCGAGAAGGTGATGCATCGTACAAGCATAGGTGCCTTTTGGCCATTCCCATGATGTAGGCAGAATACCCAAACCTACAATTCGAGGACTCCTACACCAAGCGGCCAAAGGACTCGAGCGTCCAAATGGAGACTAAGCAAGACTTCAATGATAATCCCCAGTCCAAGGAAATTATCAATGTCATAGGGGAAAAAGCTAGTAGCACTGATGTGGGCAAGTAAATTTAGGACATATTTACCTTTGTTCCTTTTTTTTGTGGGTTGTTTTGTGTAATAATCCTGACACTCTACATGTATGCCTTTGAACTTCAAATGAAATATATTTTTTTGTTAAATTACATGCTTTGTCTGATGTGCCACACCCAATGGACATGGGAGTTAGAGATAAAACATCTTGAGGTTGGAGATGTGCCATGTGCGTGGAAGTATCGTTCGAGCATCCTGAATTGATATATTTTGGTTTGGATAACTTCACTAACCCTATAAGGTCCCTCTCAGTTCAATGCAATCTTTCCTAATGAGTGAGACAAATCACTGACCTCTACCTTTTGGCGGAAAATTTGTTTAAGCACTAGGAGAACTAATGTTGTTTGAGGTGCCGAGGGTTCCCGACCTAGCCATGAGTTGCCTCCCTCTTGCACAAAGACTATTGTCAAGAGGGGCTCCCGACATGTACCCTCCGATGTTGATTTTAATAATCTCAAGATAAGGCAGGATTGAAGAAGAGTGAGTTTGGCCTCGAAGATCATGCCTGTGACCACCTTTTATAGTTGGTGCCCCTATTCGTGAGGGGTTAAGAAGATGTAGCCTGGGACAAAAAATATTCGAGGAATATTTACTAATTTTGAGTGCGACTGACGTCATGGATTTGTTCATTTGAATTTTGATTGACTTCCATGTGTCGAGACCCAAGTGAGAACGAATATTCCCAATATCTATATATATATATATATATATATATATATATATAT